AAGCCCAGCCTCCAGGGATAATCAACGTCTTAGAAGTTGAAGGGAGGGAAAGAAAGAAATGTTGCTGATATGATTAAACTGGTCCTAAGTGTTGTGAGAAAAAAATTTTCTTCTACCCTCTTAGGTTCAGTGTTTGGAGGTCTGAGAATTAAAGTGACAGAAGAGATTAATAAGGGTAAAGACAGACTTTTCTTTATTTATACACTAGAGGCCCGGTGCATGAAATCCGTGCACGGGTAGGATCCCTAGGCCTGGCCAGCGATCAGGGCCGATCAGGGCCTTCCAGCTGCTGGCCCGGGCCTTCCTTCATTCTGTGCCATTCCCCGGTGGTCAGCACACGTCATAGTGAGCGGCCGAACTCCCTGTCTCCCGGTTGAACTCCTGAGGGGACAATTTGCTTATTAGGCATATATGTATATATATGGACTAGAGGCCCAGTGCATGGATTCGTGCACCAGTTGGGTCCCTCAGCCTGGTCTGTGGGGGGACCTCTGTGCCACCGCAGCTCAGCCTCACCCACCAGCTCACTGGGCTCCAGCCCCCTGTCTGCGTCGATCCCGCACAGCACGGAGTAGTGCGGGAAGCAGTAGGTGGCTGGGAAGGAGCACTTCTCCCACTCATCCTGGCCCTGCTGCCACCACTGCTCGGGCGCGCAGGGGAAGTGTCTGCGGGAGAGGCTTGTGAGCCTGGTGTCTGGCGCCTGTCTGTCAGCTGAGTGGTGCTCTGGCTGTGGGAGCGCACCGACCACCAGGGGGCAGCTCTGGAGTTGAGCATCTGCGCCGTGGTGGTCAGTGCGTGTCACAGCTACCTGCCAATCATCCGGTCATCCAGTCGTCCGGTCGCTTAGGCTTTTATATAGCTGCAAGGGAGCTATATAAAATTCGGGCACGGGGGGGGGGGTGTCTCTCCTCCCACAGCTGCCGTAATTGCCTTCTCCTCCCGTGCCACTGCCTCTCCCTTCGCCACTGGCCCTTGGACCTTGCAGCTGCTGCCGCTGCCAGCCCTCGGCCCTTGCAGCCGCTGTGGCTTTGTCTGGAAGGACATCCGGAAGGACGTCAGGAAGACATCTGGTCTAATTAGCATATTACCCTTTTATTAGTATAGATAGATGGGGGAGTTCACAGAAAAGTGTGACTTAATGAGGCAGTTAGAATTTGGGGCTTATATACCATCCAAATTGGGGACGGCAGGAGGAGAAGGACACTTTTTTTTAAAAAGATATTTTTATTGATTTCAGAGAGGAAGAGAGAAGGAGAGAGAGATAGAAACATCAATGATAAGAAAGAATCATTGATTGTCTGCCTCCTGCCTACTGGAGATGGGGCCCGCAACCCAGGCATGTGCCCTTGACCGGAATTGAACCTGCAACCCTTCAGTCCACAGGCTGACACTCTAACCCAGTGATGGCGAACCTTTTGAGCTCGGTGTGTCAGCATTTTGAAAAACCCTAACTTAACTCTGGTGCCGTGTCACATATAGAAATTTTTTGATATTTGCAACCATAGTAAAACAAAGATTTATATGTTTGATATTTATTTTATATATTTAAATGCCATTTAACAAAGAAAAATCAACCAAAAAAATGAGTTCGCGTGTCATAGGTTCGCCATCACTGCTCTAACCACTGAGCCAAACCAACCAGGGCAGAGAAGGACACTTTGGAAAATGACTTCTTAATAGGGGAAGGGATGGGGGAGGGCATTTATGGGAAGACAAACGAGCTTTAGGAAAGATAAATGGGCTCGTAGGAGAGTAAGTGGGAGAGAGATGACAACTGTGTGACAATGTCCACTTAGTGTGGTGCAAACATCTCCTCTCCAGCAATGATGTCAATACAGCAAAACAGTCCATCTTTGCTGGTTAGAAGAAACCTCCCAGGAGGGGATTTATGGCAATTGAGTTTTTTGGGAGACTCTGCTTTTAGGTAGATCAGGGGGTTCAGAAAAAAATGCCTGCACTCAAATGCCTTCTGTTCAAAATAACTGTAATGCTACAGCGGCGTATTCTGGATCCCTTCACAGGCCATGGATCTTCAGCTGCCCCTGAGGAAAAAGGGGTCGTTGGTGAGGACACGGCTGCCAGAACCTAGAGACCTGTGCTTCGAGGTGTAAGACGGTGCTTCTTCTGCAAAGAGTCAGTTCTCTAGGGCAGCACTGTCCAGTGGAAATAAATGGAGCTACACATGGCATTTCAAATTTTCGAATAGCCATACTGAAAGGTAAAAAGAAACAGGTGGAACCAATATTGAACCAAAGCTTTTTTCATTTCAACATGTAAAAATTATTTGAGATATTTTAGCTTTTTTGGGGAACTTGGTCCAAAATCCAGTTTGTAATTTGCCCTTCTCTCCATTCAGATGAGCCACACGCCAAGTGCTGAGCATGTGGCTGGCTGAGAGCTAGCGTATTAGACAACGCAGGTCGCCAGGGTCCAGCGTTAGGAATTTTTTACGGACTCTAGGCTGCAAATACCCCTGCTTCTACACCCGAATATCTAGCAGGTCTAGAAAAAGTTGCAGCCATATGGGGAGTTCCTGGGAGTAGGCCGTTAGATGGAAAGTGTCAATGTCAAGGCTACAGCTTCTAGGACAGCGGTTCTCAACCTGTGGGTCGCGACCCCTTTGGCGGTCGAACGACCCTTTCACAGGGGTCACCTAAGACCATCCTGCATATCAGATATTTACATGACGATTCATCACAGTAGCAACATTACAGTTATGAAGTAGCAACAAAAATAATTTTATGGTTGGGTCACAACATGAGGAACTGTATTTAAAGGGCCAGAAGGTTGAGAACCACTGCTCTAGGACATCTGTATGTGAATTAGAAAATGGTGAGGGTTATGGGCTCAGGCTTAGAGAGAGAAAGGCTCTTTTGAACAAGAGCAACAAGAGCCCCAGGCTCCTCTTTGTCCAGCAGTCTTGTATTAGCCAGGCTCAGTATCGCAGGTATTTCAGGTGGAATATATTTAATACAAAGAACGGGGGTCTGGGCCACTTGCTTCTGCAGAGCCCAGCCCCTATTCACTCCCGGAAACTAAGGACGTTTTCCTCATGTCCCCACAGTCTGTAACACAGTGCTGGGCACTGTGGTCACTCAGCAGTTGTGTGAAGAAGTGAATGAGTGCAGACCCCCGCAGGGCTGAATCTGGACACCAAGAAGTATGCCCTACCCTTGTGTGAGGGCCTGAGACCCCTACTGGGTTAAGATGTTGAAAGCACCTCTGGTTGAGCACTAACTCAGATGTAGCAGACACTGTAACCAGCCATTGCCCCCCTTCCTTGCTCACTGAACCCCAATATTGTTTGAGTAATAATGTGTCCAACCCTGGAGAGGGACCGTGATTAATCCAGTGATGGCAACCACATCCCCATTGCCTGATACTTGCTTTCCCAGCCTCCCTTGCAGCTAGAGGTGGTCAGGTGACCTATTGTAGACATGGAGATATGGAGAAGTCTGCCTGGAGGCTTTAGCACAAGACAAGAAAGTATCGTAGGAGACCTACCTGCCCTCACTCCCTATCCCACCCATCCTCTGCTCTGCTCTTTCTCACTTAGCATATGGTGAGAGGATATGACGTTAGGAGCTGCTATGCAGGCGTTTGCCTTGTGAGAAGGTCAAGAGAATGGCAGATCTGCCAGCCCCCAAACAAATGCCAGCACCTCCTATCTCTAGACTTCTTGATTCATGAGAAATATATGCCCCATGTGTAAAGCCATATTACTTTGTTTTCTTTTTATTTGTTTGTTTTTTGTTTGTTTGTTTTGGTCATTGTTGTTACAGCTGAATCGAGTCCCTAACTCATAAACCTAATGGTTACTCGAGGATTCGTTGATCCCGGAACTACAGGATCCTGGGGCTGGGAGGCACCTCCGTTCCACTGAGTCGACTCTCCCACAGTCTGTGTGAATCTCCTCCCCAGCACCCCCACTCAGTGACCCTCCACTTGCACATCTCAGACGGGGACCCCAGGTTTGAGTAGGAAATTTTTATATTAAAGCCAAAACTAAATTCCCTGCAACTCCACCCAATTGTCTTGATATGGATACTTGGGAAAGAACAGGGAATTGTAGAAAGGGGTGGGGGGTGGTGGTGGTGGTGGTGGAGTGAGATGGGTTTAGTGCCAACTTTTCCTAGTTCTGTGACATCGAGCAAGGCACCGAACCTTCTACACCTCAGTCTTTTATCTCTAAAGTGGAGACAACCATTCTCCCAGGATCACTGTGAGGGTTTGATTTGTGAGCACAGGGAGCCCACAGCGATGTTGGTGTCTGTGTTAGGTCTGATCAAATAATTGCTCCATACCCCCTCCCCTGGGAACTGACCTTTAGGCCCCTTCACAATGGACATTCCACTTGCTGAGACCATTTCTCTCCCCTCCGGAGTTTCCCAGAATCCAGATCTGCACAGAGAATCCTCCGCCCAGAAAAGGCCCGCCTAGAGTCCTTTAAAAACCTCTGACTCCGGTCTTTGCGGCAGCTGGCCCCATTGTGGGGCTCAGCCCACCTGGTACCCAGATGACCTAATAAATTCATAATTCTTTACCCCTTTTGGCCTCATGCGTTCCTCCTTCGGCGACCCTAACAGTCTGACCCTCCACACACGCGTGTGTCCTCTGGTTGTTGCATCTGAGAGTTGGGGCCCAGAACAGAGGTGTGAGCCCAGCACAGGGGACAGGTAAGCTTTGGTTCAGGGCAAAGAATAGGGTCATTATAGCGCCCCACCAGGGGGTGTGTGCGTGTGTGTGTGTGTGTGTGTGTGTGTGTGTACGCAAGCGCGCACATGCTCGCCTGTCTTTCTGTCTGAGAACTCGGGGGGCAAGGGGGGCTCCCAGGGAGGAGGGATTGCTCCCCAGCAGTGGGGAGATCCTCTGCCTTGTCTGCCTGTGCAGCCTCCTCCCTCCTTCCTCCGGCCTGTTTGCTGCGGGCTCCGAGGGGCACGGGCTCTGTGAAAGGAACGTCACGGAAGACGCCAACTCAGCAGTGACATCCAGGCCTGGGGGAGGTTTGCAGGACGGGCTTTAATGGCCAAGAACCCAATCAGGACATGGAGGTGCTGGTCCCGGGCGGCCAGCCGGGGAGAAGGGGCACAGGAGGGGCACCCTTCTGCTGGGCCGGGGCATGGCCGCAGGCCTTCACTCCTTGGAGCGGCCCTGGTCTCGGCAGGTGCCAAAGTTGGTGTTGGTGATGGAGCCCACGATGGACTTGTCCACCTCGCAGATCAGGCCCCGCTCGCAGGGACACTTGTAGTAAACCCCGTAGAGCGTCTGCGGAGACAGGGCGCCAGGGGAGTCACAGGCTGTGGGGGCTCCTCGGGCATCACTTGCCTTGGATCTGACGCCAGAACCAGGGGGCAGCCCGTCTTTCCCGCGGAGCTGCTCCCTGACCGCCCCAGGGCGCCCTGGCTCCCCCGCTCTTCCTAACCAGGTCTGCCTGGGAAGCCTCTCTCTACCCATCCATGAAATGGGTACCAGATCCCTGCCCCCGCGCACCCCCTGGTCAGCTGAGACCCTGGGCTGGGAAAGGGCTTGGAGGCCCGTTGACCTTCCTGTCTCCCCAACATTGGAGGTTCGGCTACCCCCTCCCCATCCATCCCCAAGCCCGGAGGCCCCCTCTCTGGGTGCCCCCCGCCCCCCGGTCCTCGGACCCACCTTGGCGGAGCACTGACCATTCAGGAAATGGAGGACGGCGCAGCGGGCAGGTCCCTCCGGGACATGCAGCTTCACTGGTTCTGGCACTGGGCGCTGTTCAGCCAGAGCTCGCAGGCATGCGAGAGTAGAAGTAACCCGGAATGCCGCATGTGCGACTCTGGGCCCGGCTCCTCCGCTACCCCCCCCGCCCCCCCCCCGTGGGAAGGGCGGTGGGTGCAGTGAGGCAGCCTGGGCGGGGCTGCACCGCCAGCCCCCTGGGTGCCCCTGGAGCCGTGCCCCTGGCCTCAGCGCTCCCATGGAGGGTGCCCGCGTGGCCCCCAAACGGCCTCCAAGTCTCTGGGTCCCACGGGCCTTTGAGGAAGGAGCCTGTGAAAATGAAGGACCTTCTCCCTGGAAAACTCCTCCCTCCCCGACAGACCTTTGCACATAATCTCAGCGGGACCCTGTCCCCAAGCCCGAGCGTGGCACCGTTAGGGATCTCTGGGGGGGGGGGGGTGGCCCCGAGAGATGCCCGGTTCTGCCCTCGGGGAGAGGCGGTGTGGCTGGGGGAGAGCGTGGCTGTCCAGGTTGATAGGAAGGGTCCCTCTCGGTCGCTCGTGTGATGACTGAATGTCCGTGAGGCTCTGAGAACTGTCTGGTCCCTGGGAGTGGGCGCTGGGGTCGGAGCCAGTCACTGGGGGAGCTTAAACCCCTGGGCTCTGAGCCAGGCTTCCAGGATGGGGCTGAGGGCTCTAGTTTGCAAACTCCCTTAGCCAGGCTGAACCACTGCTCTGAGCGTGTGCCCAGCTGGTCAGCTTCTCTGGGGCCCCTGGGGAGGAGGCGAGGACAGGGCACAGGCAGTGGACGAAGGCGCCTCGCCTCCCAGCCCTGGGCAGCCCCAGGTGGGACCCGGAGGTCAAGAGCCAGCCTTACCAGGTTGACAATGATTCCCCGGGGGTCGGGAACCGCGTAGGCCACCGCCAGGGTGACAAGCAGAAGGACAAGGATCTTCTCCATGATGAATGGGCACAGCTGGTGAAGGGAGCAGCCAGCAGGTCAGGTGGCAGAAGACAGAGCCAGTTGGGGTGCTGGGGCTATAAAAGGCCCTGTCCACATGTGACCCACCTTCCCCGTCTCACAGGGCTGCCGTGAGCAGAGGCCCAGCTGTGGCACCCCGCTCGGGGAGGGGGGGCGGGGGGGGTCCTGATAAGGTAAGTGGGTGGCACCCGGGCACCTGGCTGTGTGTGGGCACCTGGGGTGGTGGGTGGTGATATTGTGACATGTGCAGAGTGTGGGTTCTGGGACACTTTTACCTGCACAAGTTACTCGCCGAGCAAGTTATCTATTCTGCGTCTCAACTTCCTTATCTGTCAACTGGAGGATAATTTCAAGAGCTGTAAGGGTTGCCCTGGCCAGTGTGGCTCAGTTGGTTGGGCATCGTCCTGCACACTGAGGGGTTGCCAGTTCAATTCCTGGGAGGGCATGTGCCTGGGTTGTGGGCTCCGTCCCCCGTAGGGGGTGTGCAGGAGGCAGCCGATGGATGATGTTTCTCTCTCCCTTCCTCTCTAAAAATCAATTTAAAATCTTAAAAACTATATCTGTAAGGGTGAATTGAATTAATATGTTATTTATATTATATATTAACAGATAGATAGAGCTCAGGACAGGGCTTGGCGCATGTGAGCGGTGTGTGCTGGCTGCTGCGATTGTTGCTGTCGTTCATTCACGTCTAGTGCCCTGAGCTCCTCCGCGGGGCTCGGACGAAGGTGAGGGAAGAGAGGCCCCGGGTGTACGCGCCTCCTTGAATTTTCACCTGAAGCCCCTCTCTTCCTTGCCCTAGTCTGGCCCTGCTTTGGCCCCACCCAAAGCCAGGTACCTGGCATGTCAGACTCAGGTGAGGAGGCCTCTCCAGGCCTCTTTAGGTCCCTGTGTCTGCAGCCTTGTGGGGGGATGTGTGTTCTGGCTCTGGGCGCACCTCCTCCAGCCCCCCACCAGGCTGTCTCCAAGAGTAGTTTCAGAGGCCCTTAGGACGTCCTCAGACGATTCTCTCCAGTTTCCTTTTCATTTCACTTAATACCTGCAATTCCAGCATTTAAGACTCACCCCTTCAGTTCAGGCTTCACTCACCTGGCCCCTCGCCAAGGCCACGTGGGAGTGGGAGGAGGTCTGAGCCTCAGGGCCCAGGGCAGAGCCTGGGAAGGGTGCAGCTGCCCGAGTGTGCTCAGCTGTGGGACAGTGCAGCTTTCCCTAGAGCCCCTTCCCCAGCCCAGGAGGTGGAAATCAGCTCCCCTGGGAGGCCCCAGGTGGGGTTGCTGCAAGCACAGCTTTGATCCACACAGACATGGCTTCCAAACTCAGCACTAACCAGCTACATGACCTTGGACACGGGATTTACATGTGTGAGCTCCCTGAGCCCGTTTCCTCCTCTGTCTAAGGAGGGCGAGGGCTCCTTCATTCGGTCAGGATTGGCTAAGACCAAACTGATGATTGCCAGAGGGGAAGGGGTTTGTGAAAAAGGTGAAGGGATTAAGAACTACAAATTGGCAGTTAAAAATAGTCACTGGATGTAAAGATCAGTCTAGGGAATATAGTCAATAATATTGTAATAACTATGTGTGATGCCAGCTGGGCACTAGACTTATCAGGGGGGTCACTTCATAAGTTATGCAATGTCTAACCACTATGTTGTACACCTGAAACTAATCTATACTAATAAAATGTAATATGCTAATTAGACTGGACAGCTAAACGTCCTTCTGGACAACCTTCTGGACGAAGCCGGGGCTTCGAGGGCCAAGGCAAGCCGCCGGGGATGCGAGGGCCGAGCCCCTTGCACGAATTTCATGCACCGGGCCTCTAGTATAATATATTTTTTATTGATTTCAGAGAGGAAGGGAGAGGGAGAGAGAGCTAGAAACATCAATGACTGGGGATCGAGCCTGCAACCTGGACATTAAACCCAGGACCCTTCAGTCCGCAGGCTGATGCTCTATCCACTGAGCCAAACCAGCTAGGGTTTAAACTAATATAATATTGAATGTCAATTATAATTGAAAAAATAAAATAAATTAAAATTAACATTTAAATGAAAGATAATGGTGCTCACTTTGGCAGCACATATATTTAAAAAAAGACAATGTGTGTAGAACCCCCATGGAAAGTCCCTGGAGCATAGTAGGTGCTCAACCTGAGTACTACCTTCCCTTCCCCCTCCCCTTACACCAAATGAGGGCGAAATATAAGGGAGCAACTGTGGGGGCCAGCCAGGAGGCCCTCAAAATGAGAGAAACCCACCCAATTCCGGAGACACAGAAATAATATTGATTAAAGGAACACTGTCCTTTCTTATTTTTATGGAACTCAGTGGTTAACAACACTTTCCCGAGCTCCGTCTGGCTCCTTCTGCTCTCTCCTCCCCCCTTCACCCCAACACTCCTGGGGGCTGAGCCACAGGGAAGCTAATTAAAGTTCCCTTCCCACAGTGAGGCAGGGAAGGAATGAGGAGCTGTTTCTGTCTGTGAATGAAGCTGTGAAAACGCATCAGCCCTGTCTCCATCTGCTCACGGCCAGCTTCCCAAAGAAGAGAGAATGGAGTTTTCCCCATGACAAGTGGAGAGCATAGCAAAGAGAACGTGGGCAATGTCTGTGATTCCAGACTGCTAAGCAACAATGAAGTGCTTCCTGTATCAAACCCTCACAATGTTTGTCCCGGCCGATGTGGCTCAGTGGTTACAGTCTCAGCCCACGTACTGAAGGGTCGCAAGTTCAGTTCCGGGTCAGGGGCATGTACCTGGGTTGCAGATTCATTTCTCAGTCGGGGTGTGTCGGGGGAGGCAAGTAATCGATTGTCTCTCTCACATCCATGTTTCTCTGTCTCTCTTCCTTCCACTCTTTCTAAAAAGCAATGGGAAAAAGATCTTCGGGTGAGGATTAAAAACCAACAACAGCAAAACCTCACCAGGTTTAACCAGCCCTTCCCAATTCAAGGAGTCGTTTGCTTTCGGGGTTCCCCTTCAAAAAAGAACTGAGTTCTGGTTCCCACGTGCAGTCATAAGGGTTTTGTTCACAGGCATGAGCGAGAAAAGCCGTAGACCGAAGGAATACAGACTGTGCGATGCCCTTTACCTGAGGCTCAAGAAGAGGCAGAACTAACCCCTGGTGATGAGAGTCTTCGGTTGCCTCGGGGAGGGATCCTGACTGGGAGGGGCGGCGGGGGCCTCCTGGGGGTTGGGATTGTTCTGAGTCTTGATCTGGGGTGTCAGTAGCACATCGCTGCATGTGATGGAGACACTGCATCTCAATGGAAAAACAAACAAAAAATGGAGCAAAGTTCTCCCTGGTCAAGTCTTGCCACTGGGATGCTGGGGGTTGGGGTGGTGCCAGGCCTCCTGCTGAGTGGGGTGGGGACGGAGTGGTTTTAAACCTAGAAATGGGGCCAACTCCTCCTGGGTGTCTCCCCATCTCCACTGTCCACGACGGGCCCCAGACACGGAGGGCGGGCCTCGGGCCGCCACGCCAGGAAACAAGCCCGTCTTTGCTCCTCGCACATCTGGCCCAAGCCCCCCTCCTGGGATGCAGCCTGTGCCCAACAGGGTGTAGCTCCTTCCCAGCGGGTCTGAGACATGGAACTAGGGAGCCCAGGAAGGCAGTTTGCTGATGAGGAAAAGGAGAAAGCCGGTCAGCAGAGGGAAGGAAGCATGGAGTAGCCCAAGCATGTCAAACTCAGGGCCCTCGGGCCGCATCCGCAATGAATATTTTTGCTGCCCAGCCAATGTAACGGTGTGTAAGAAATGTTTTAATAAAAAATTCATAACTTAATTTTTATAATATCCTGTTATACATACTTATTAATAACGAACTACAACATTCGTTAATGACTGATGACTATAATCGTGTTGCATTCATTTCCCTTACGTGCCTTACCCGCAGGCGCACCATTTCTCTCCACTAATACTAGCAGCGAATATTTTAGCAGCCAATTGCCACGTCATTAGTCTTGAACTGACTTTTCGGTGTGCGCAACAGGAAATATTTCACTTTTGAGAACAAGGAAAATAGGTTTTATTTGCATTACACTTATTAATTTGTGCAGTTATTCAGTGTCTGCTAAACTAATGTTCAAGAAAAAATATTAATTTTTATTAAAATGTTCTATTATTTTTTAAATATATTTTATTGATTTTTTACAGCGAGGAAGGGAGAGGGATAGAGAGTTTGAAACATCGATGAGAGAGAAACATCGATCAGCTGCCTCCTGCACACTCCCCACTGGGGATGTGCCCGCAACCAAGGTACATGCCCTTGACCGGAATCGAACGCAGACCCCTCAGTCCACAGGCCAACACTCTATCCACTGAGCCAAACCGGTTAGGGCTGCTCTATTATTTTATGCTAATGATTACTCATTTATTTCAGCCCTTTGTATTCAGCATGTCTCTATCGAAATAAACCTACATTTCTATGAAAATTGAAGCTTTTGGTTTTTTTGTGGCCGCAGAAACTTCAACCTTGTTTATTTGGCCCGTGTTAGCGTTTGAGTTTGACATGCTTGGCTTAGCCATTCAGGAAGAGGCGGTGGCAGCCATGCCCTGACTTCCTGATGGAGGTCCCTGTCCTGGTTACACACTTGCGTGCGCGCATTCCCCCCCCTTCCCCCCCCCCCCTCCCTGCCACACACACACCCTCCCTTCCCATGGGGCCTGAAACTCCCCTGTGTTCCTATAACACACCCCCTTTGCTGAGGCCACCAGCACAGACATCTCAGTTCTGGGAAAGAGCTCATGGCTCTGGGTCAAGGCCAGATGTGTGACAACCGAGGAGTAGAGCGGGGAGAGACAGGGATCCCCTCAAGATTCAGCTTCCCCACCAAGAGACTCAGGTTGGCCCAGCTTGTGTCCTCCAAACCCCTCCCTGTGGTGGGTCCTGGGCAGAGCCCTGAGGTGGGCAGCCCCGGGGCCACATGGGGAGGGGCAGAGTGGGGTTCTGTTACCAAGAAAAGGGAGGGATTCCGGGCAAACAGTAAATGCCTCCTCCATTCCACTGCAGGCTGCCCAGC